AAAGGTTCTGAAACTGTTTAATATTATAGGATTAAGTCACAGTGCGAAATACATTTTATAAAATTTAAGACGTTTCTCGGTATTATATTTGGTAAAATGAAAAAAACTCTCTGGCATTACCATTGTTAAGTGAATTTTTTTATTGATATATTTAGTTGGTGTAAAAAAATATAGGATAGTTTGTATTATATCACTATCACTATCAATAAGAAAATAAAAAACACAAAAATGTGTAAGGTTTTTAAAACAAAAACCAAACAAGCTTCTTTAATGTAAACTTTTTTTTAGAGTAATACTGGTAGAGTAGATGGACAAAAGAAGATCATACAAAAACAAAAATGTAAACGAATACAAAGCCATACACAAGGAGATCAGGATAAAAATACGGGCAGCTAAAAAAAAGTGGTACAATGGCAAATGTTTAGAGATAGGAGAACTCCAGAGAAATCATGATATTTTTGAAGTGTACAAAAAAATTAAAGAATTAGCAGGTATAAGACGGTCCAACAATAGTAACACCCTGGTTGATACGAATGGTAAAATAATATCTGATATAAAAGCCAAACTAAACAGATGGAATACGTCCAAGAATTGTTTGAGGATGAGAGGACACAACAAGATAGCATGAACGATTGCGAGGAACATGATATAGGTCCAAATATAACTAAGGATGAAATAATACATGCAATAAATCTGGCAAAATCTAATAAAACTGCAGGACCTGACACAATTCCAACTGAAATAATTAAATTAATATCAGAAGATCAGATCAATGTATTAGTAGACTTATATAATACTATATATAATACGGGTATTATTCCGAGAGATTGGCTCAAATCAACATTTATTACATTACCAAAAAAACCTAATGCAAGGGAATGTAATGACCGTATAATTAGTCTAATGAGTCACACACTAAAAATATTCTTAAAAATTATCCATTTAATTATTTGGATTTAACGTCCTCATGCAAAGATGTATGGATGTAAACCAACCACTCTATGTTTGTTTTATTGATTATAATAAGGCGTTCGATAAGGTCCGACACAACCGTCTTATACAGTTACTTAAAGAGAAACACATTGACAAAAAAGACTTAAGAATAATAACTCATCTCTACTTTAACCAAACAGCAAAAGTCTGAGTCGACAGAGAACTTTCAAAGGAAGTAGAGATAAAAAGAGGAGTAAGGCAAGGTTGCATACTCTCCTCCTTATTGTTCAATCTATATTCGGAAGAAATAATTAAAAAATCACTCGAAAATGTAACAATTGGAATAAAAGTTAATGGCAGGCCCATCAACAATATCAGATATGCCGATGATACTATACTAATTGCAGAGAATATACAAGATCTACAGAGACTTTTAGATAATGTAGTAAATGCTAGTGAGGAAAGCGGACTAACGCTTAATGCTAATAAAACAAAATGTATGACAATTTCCAAAACACAACAAGACATTTTAAACATAAGAGGATTTCCAATAGAAAAAGTTAAAAAATACAGATATCTTGGTATAATTATTAATGAAAATAACGAGTATACAGAAGAAATAAAAATGAGAATGGGACAAGCTAGAGCAACATTTAATAAGATGAGAAAAGTATTATGCAGTAGAGACCTTAGTTTACAACTCAAAATAAGAATATTACGTTCTTATGTGTTTTCGGTGCTGCTGTATGGGGTGGAGGCCTGGACCTTAAAGAAAGAGGTGAGCGATCGAAATGAAGCATTCAAGATGTGGACTTACCGAAGAATATTAAAAAAATGTTGGGTAGACCGAATAACAAATGTTAAGGTCCTCAGAAAGATGACAAAAGGAAATAGAAATCATGAATACGATTAAGATAAGAAAGTTACAGTATCTCGGCCACGTTATGAGAGGGGATAAATATGTGTTGCTACAAACCATAATGCAGGGAAAAATACAGGGAAAACGAAGTATTGGAAGAAGACGCATCTCCTGGCTCAACAATCTGAGAAAGTGGTATAATTGCAGTTCCGTCGACTTGTTCAGAGCTGCAATCTCAAAAATGAAAATAGCTGTGATGATTACCAACCTCCTTAAAGGAATCGGTACCTAAAGAAGAACTGGTAGAGTATATACATGCTGCAATTTTGTTTCGTTTTTATTAGTATTTTTGATGGTTGAAGAATATTTTTAATTTACTTACAGCTGTTCTAAATAGTTTGTTTGTAGTGCAACTGAACCACTCCCTAAATTTCTCATCCAGGATATTCTTCTGCGGCCCAGATTCCCTCGTCCTTTAATCCTTCCGTCCTCCATCCTAATGAAAAATAAATGTTGCTTAAAAAACTTTTGCATTGAAAACGAAACGAACGTATTAGTAATCTTAAAAGTATCCTAAGTAGAAGACGTTAAGAGCTATTGATTTCCATTAGAATGTTAAATATTTTAAAGAAAAATGCTGTGCTAAATACGGCTAATGATAACAATGTCGGTGCTACATTCCGAAAAGCCACAAAAATCTACAACGTTCGGCCAATTTAAAATAGACAACCGCAGTATTTTATTAGATCTATCTATAGTCTCGCTAAAAGGGTATGTTTTCACTATAATAGCAGTGCTCTTTGAACGCCGAAAACTCGATAACAGCGTAATTTGAGCGGCCGTGCTTTAACAAATAGAGTGGATGCGGTAGTTTTACTGGATAAGTATTCAAGTATTGAAGTCATTGGAGGTTAACATTTAATTCCTAAATGGAGTTTTCTCGATAATGTCTATTTATATTTCGGAATAAATAGTTTATAAATGCCAATTGGTCATCAATATTCATTCAAGTATCTCGTTTGTTTGAAAAATTCTTAAAAAGGCTCAACTTGTTGCAAGAGGTTATAAACAAGAATTTAATCTTGATGAAAGTATTTACACTCCACTGGTCAGAATGATAACTTTAAGAGCACTATTTGTATTACCTCTTAAAACAGATTCAGAAATTCATCAAATCATACTATTTGACCCTCTTGTCTGTGTTAAATGAATGAATGAATGAATGAATGAATGAATGAATGAATGAATGAATGAATGAATGAATGAATGAATGAATGAATGAATGTATGAATCAATGAATGAATGAATGAATGAATGAATTAATTAATAAATCAATGAATGAATGAATGAATGAATGAATGAATGAATGAATGAATGAATGAATGAATGAATGAATGAATGAACGAATGAGTGAATGAATGAATGAATGAATGAATGAATGAATGAATAAATAAATGAATGAATGAATGAATGAATGAATAAATTAATAAATGAATCAGTGAATCAGCGTATTGTAAAAATTGTGAGAGTCGCGGGTTCGGATAACTGGTCGTTCGGTTGATCGACTATATATGTATATACAGTTGAGTCTACGGTTCTTTACCTCTAAAGCATACGAAATAAGTCGGAATTCCACGCAACATCAAGTGGCAGAAAGTGGCTACTGCTCCGATCACGGATTATATTAAAAAATTTGACATTATTAAATAAATAGAATGTAAAATCTTAGTTTTTTTTTTAAATTTTGGTGCAGAATTACAGTAACATTTGAATTAGCTTAATAAATTCTTTTAATATCAACAGTAATTAATAACTAAATAAACATATTATAAAAAAATATATATAATTAAAAATACAATAATATTATTTATATTGTTGCAAGATTTTGATGGTATATTTTTCGTTTTTTATATTTCATTTTCATCACTTTCGGAATCTGAACTGTTACTTCCAATGTTAATTATTAATTAGTTTTAACCGATGTTCATTAAAATTAACATTTTGATGGTAACATTTGACATTTTTTCAGCCAATCTATAATGTCTGATTTTAACCATTTAGCGGAAGGTTGTTTGTTCATGATTTTACCATAGTAGCGTACGTAGTAGTAGCAAGAACAAAGACATGCTATAAATCATCAATTTGCCGGTATGCACTTTAAGCGCCTTTTAAACCAGTAATTATTAATTGTTTTTTAATAATTAGGTGATATTTTTACCTACTACTAGCTATTTGTACCTAACTATGACTGGATTGGTATGGGGTGAATTTGGTAGCTCTATAACCGATGCAGCCGCTGCCAAGCCCGAAATAGCACCGTGTGAGGTCCCTGCCTGGGGTACAGGTGAAAACCGGTCTCAAGAGCAGGGTATGGCTGGAAAAGTCACAATGGTCAAGACGGCGGAAGAACCAACAGAGTCTGATCCAGAATGGGCGGCTGAAGAAAAGGTACTCCAAATGGAGGTTGTGGCGTTAGCAATTAGCAACCTAACACAGAGAAAAACGTAAGGCTAAGAAAAACGAAAATTGCAAGATGAAAAAGCCAAATACGGAAACACATCCCCGGGTGGAAATCCACACCACTAATAGAGGGAGCCCCATCGGATACGGGGGGGGGGCAATGTTGCGAAGAGTTCGGAGTAAAACCCAGTCTTATCAAAGCTCAACTAAAAATCAAAGGCGACGAAAGTGATCAAAGAGTTTAGAGAAAGCAACATCGATATACTAGTAACACCAAAAACCAAAAAGAAACAAAATAGAATAAAAACAATAGAAGACCATATACACTGCTGGAGCAGAGTTAATAAAGAATGTAGAGCAAAGGCAGAAGTGGGAATACTCATCAAAAACAAGTGGAAGAACAGGGTTAGTACATGGGAGCCAATCAACGAGAGGATAATTAAAATGCATATACTTAGATATATACGGTAAAGAGACAGTGGTACTTGGAGTATATGCACTAACAGACGATTCTCCGAGAGTAGAAAAAGAACATTTTACGGAACAATTTCAACACCAAATAGAGCTAATCAAGAAGAACGTGGAGATAATAATAACAGGAGACCTTAACCATCAAATTCCTAGAATACAAAAAGGCTAACGTACCAGAATAAAATCTGAATGCATCTGCTAAAAGGAGCATGTACCTACGTTAAGAAATGCGAAATATTTAATTTGATTTTCAGTTAATTTAGATTTTTTGTTTCAGGTTCATCCAGGGTTGGTAAGACCTGCCTTGTAGCAAGATTCTTAGGCCATAAGTATACGGACGGTTACACACCAACAATCGAAGACTTTCATAGAAAAATATATAGAATTAGAGGTGAAATATATCAACTAGACATTTTAGATACTTCTGGATTTCATCCGTTTCCTGCCATGAGAAGGTTATCATTTTTAACAGGTAAGTTTAATTTTTTAAGATTAGAGTTTAAGTTAAAATACTTAGAGATGGTATAAAAACGTTAAAAATAATATTTTTATAACATAAACATATAAAACTTGATAGACACGTAGTTGCTCATCGCTCCCCACTGAAGTGACTGGTTGCAAAATATTAAAAATTTAACGAATTTATTAATTTACCAAAAACAATACATTAAATGATTGCCTAAACACATAATGTTACTTGTTTAACATTAAGATATCTAAAACTAATTAATCACATGTCAAAATCGCGTTGGACATTGTTGCTAGTAACGTCAGATCCGTCGTCTATCAGCTACATATAAACCTTAGTATATTATATCCCATGAGGACCTATCAATTAGTGAACAATGAGAAATGTGCAAAAATAATATTAAAGATGCAGCAAATAATATTCTAGGGCCAGAAACACCACCACCACGTAATGACTGGTTTGATGCCGAGTGTGAGGACATTACAAGAAGAAAGAACGATGCATATAAACTGATGCAGCAAAGAAGAACCCGAGAAAAACAGCAAAAATATAAAGATCTCAGAAAAGAAGAGAAGTGCATTCATAGAAGAAAAAAGCGAACTCACGAAAATAGAATATTGGAAGAACTTGAGGTATTAAAAAAGGAAAACCAAACAAGAAAATTCTACAAAACTCTGAATAATGCAAGAAAGGAATTCAAACCAAGACTTAGACTATGTAAGGATAAGGAGGAGCATATACTAAATACAAAAGAAGAAGTACTGAAAAAGTGGGTGGAACACTTTAAACAACTACTTACTATAGAAGTAGAAGATCCAGATCCAAATCAACCACCCACAGGAGCAAGCAACAATTCACCATTAGAGCCTCCGTCAATTCAAGAAGTACGAGATGCAATAAAACACCTAAAAAACAATAAATCTCCAGAAAGTGATGGTATACCCGCGGAACTTATTAAATGTGGAGGAATAGTGGTATATTGAAATGCTTTGCCCTATATAACTATAGGGGAATAACCCTCCTTAATACAGCATACAAAATATTTTCGAGGATCTTATGTGGTCGCCTAAGTGCATAATTAGAGGAACTTTTTGGGGAATATCAAAGTGGCTTTAGGCCTGGTCGATCAACAACAGATCAGATGTTTGTGCTAAGGCAAATCCTGGAAAAAAAACCAATGAATTCAATATCGATACATACGATCTTTTTGTAGACTTCAAATCTGCCTACGATAGTATCCTAAGAAATAAATTGTATGAAGCCATGAATGAATTCCACATCCCCGATAAACTGATAAGATTGGTTAAAGCTACAATGCGTAATGTGGTTTGCAAAGTCGAAATACAGGGCGAACAATCACAGGCGTTTGGAACGCATGTTGGGCTGCGACAGGGAGACGCGCTGGCGTGTCTCCTTTTCAATATAGCACTGGAAAAAGCGATCAGAGATGCCAGAATAGACAACAGAGGAAATATTTTTAATAAATCATCCCAAATTTTGGCCTATGCAGATAATGTGGAGCTACTTGCGCGCACAACACGCAAGCTAGAAGAAATGTATCCAACCTTCTCAAATGCCTTAAAATCTATGGACCTGCAAGTAAATGAGGAGAAAACTAAGATTATGGCATCAACACCCAACAATAAAGTCAGGAACATTGGTCCCCAATTCACGGTTGATAACTCTACCTTTGAAGTGGTGGACAAATTCACATACTTAGGCTCCCTGATCACCAAAGAGAACGCCATAACGGAAGAAATCAAGCGAAGGATAACAATGGCAAACAGATGCTATTTTGGACTGGGTAGACATATGTGAAGTAGAAACTTAAGCCAAAAAACAAAAATAACCATATACAAAACCCTTACACAGCCAGTGTTGACATATGGGTCGGAGACATGGACCATCTCCAAGGCAGATGAAGACCTTCTGCTTATATTTGAACGAAGGATCCTGAGAGGAATATTTGGTGGCATCTATGAAAATGGTGTCTGGAGGAGGAGATACAACTACGAGGTATACCACAGATATAAACAAATATTTGGTGGTAAAGACGTAGTATCTCTTATAAGAATATAAAAACTAAGATGGGCAGGACATCTAGCAAGATTACAGCAGAATAACCCTTCTAGAAGAATTCTTATGTCACAACCCGTGGGAAGTAGAAAAAGGGGTAGGCCAAAACTCAGATGGAAGGATGGTGTAGATGAGGATGGTAGAAAGATAGGCGCAGCAAACTGGCAACGGTTGGCAATGGATAGGACTGCCTGGCGTAATAGACTTGAGAAGGTCGAGGCTCTTTCATTGGGCTGTAGCACCATTGATGGTGATGATATTATATCGATGTGTACTGCATATAGGAAATATTTACGACTTAAATTACAATTTTAAAATGATGGGTTAATTTTGATCTGTAGTATATACGAGAAATCTGGGTAAATAAATAAATAGATAAATGAATAGATAGAGAGTTAGACATATAGATAAAAAATAAAGATAAATAGATAGAAGATAACAATATTGTTAAAACATAACACGAAATAATCTTTCCTATAAGTCTATTCGTTTTAAAGATTTATATTCTGAGCTTCTGTCTGTGTTAAAAATATTTACCAAATGATATACGATAAAAAATTTTCAATTTCATGAATACTACAAAATAATAAAGCCTTACATTGAGAAAAAGACGAAGGCAAAACAAAATTATAGCGAAAAATGAGTAGCAGTAGTCATTTTGGCAGTTAAAGTAGAACGTTTCTGTGCAAAAAAGAAATTGGACCAGTTTGGGAACGCGTATATTATTTTTAAGAATATTGTGTCCGTATAAAACTCCCGTTTTCTTTAAATATATTATATAAGTAAATTTGGCGTGCCATGAATAACCTATAAGATTCCATTTCACTAGGTTTGATGTTTATGCGAAGAAACTTGAATGAAGTGAGATATACAAAATAAGTTTATCGATGTTTTAATTTCCACTTCGAAAATCGTTTTGAAAATACACTAATAAATTGAACAAATTTTTGGTTTTTGTTACTTGGTGAATTTAATTTTATCTTACCCATTTATATTGACAATTCAGACATATACATTTTAAAGTAGATTACTTTAAAATGACATTATAAATATTACTGAGTTGCGTTCTTCTAATGACTTTTTTGTAAGATAGTGTATTCGATTACATGAAATAAACAACAACTTGAGAATATCCGTCAGAAAAATCATAGCAAAAAGACAACTACATGCCATGTTGACACTAGAATTTTCCTGTTAGTGATTTCATAGTAAATCATGAGGAAAAAACCAGAAAAAAAACCTTGTAATCATATCTCGACATGGTAAGTATTTGGTATTACATTTAGTTTACCTCAATAAACACCATACTCTCATTTAAGAATAGATGGATGAGTAACTTTGACAACTTTTATTGAACTCTCCGTTGCACTTAAATATCTATTTGATCCAAAGTATGTATACTGTTTTGTTCTCATCATCATCATCAACTCGCCTCTAACATCCACTGCTGAACATAAACCTTTCGCATGCTTTCCCACTTAGTCCGATTTTGCGCCATCTGAATCCAATTTGTAATCACTCTTTTTATGTCATCTATCCATCTCGTTGGGGGTCGACCTCTATTTCTGTTATCTTATATTCGGGGTCTCTATTCCAAAATTCTTTTTGTCCACCGGTCATCAACTAATCTTGCTACATAACCTGCCCAGTTCCACTTTAGTGTTGTTATCCTTTCAATAACGTCTGCTACTCCTGAGCTTATCACGTAGATAAATCCTTAAATTATTCTCTCCATTGCCCTTTCCGTAACTTGTAGTTTACTCATTGTTGTTCTTGTGAGTGGTAGGGTTTCTGCTCCGAAGGTCATCACTGGCAAAATACACTGATTAAATACTTTTCAGACACATTGAAATCTTAGACCTAAAAATATTCTTCATCTTTCCAAATCCAGCCCAAGCGAGGTTTATTTTTCTTTTCACATCGTTTGTTTGGTTGTCTCGACTTATTCTGATCTCATGGTACAAGTATTTATAGGAGTCAACTGGCTTAATATCTTTGTCTTTAACTGAGATATTTTTGTTGTGGACTGAATTTGTCATAAATTGTGTTTTTGAAAAATTTATTTTAAGACCAACTCTTTTTGTGGCAGTATGGAGTTCTTGGAGCATTATATGTGCCTGATTAAAGCTGTCTGCAAAAAGAACGATATCATCTGCAAATTTAAGGTTATTTAAAAATTTTCCATCTACATTGATGCCCTTTTCGTTCCAATCTATTGTTTTGCGTATTCTAGAAAAGTTGCAAATAATTTAGGAGACATGTTGTCTCCTTGCCGAACGCCTCTTTCAATACGAAAGGTCCCAGTATCTTCATTAAGTCTTACACAGGCTGTAGCATGCTGATAGATGTATCTGATGAGGGATGTGTATTCTAAATTGTGCTAGAGCTTGGAGCATTTCACTTTGATTGACTATATCAAATGCTTTTTCAAAGTCAACAAAGACAAGTATCAGGGGTCTATTATTTTCAATTGTTTTTTCAATTAACGGCTTAATGGTTTGCAAATGATCATTTGTTCCGTATCTAGCTCTAAATCCTGCTTGCTCGCAAGAATGATAGAAGTCTAGTTTTGATGTTAACCTATTATCTTCATAAGCAACTTATAAACGTGAGATAACAAGCTAATAGGTCTATAGTTCTTTAGCTCTGTTATATCTTCCTTTTTGTGCATGACTACTATAACAGCTTTACTCCACTGAGATGGTGTAACCTCTTTTGAAAGGCGTGTTATATTATTGTGCCAATGCTTTCAATACTGACTTTTCTCCTGCTTTAACTGCCTCAATAACGATTAGGTTATCACCAGCTGATTTATTGTTTTTCATTCGATTTAATGACTTTGAGACTTCTTCAATTTTGATTTCTGGCATGCCCTCTGAATCCACATTCTGGACTTTTCTCAACTTGGTGCCGTCTTTCTTACCTAC